ACTGGAGATTCAGTGATGAAGAGTGGCGCTCTGGGTACTGGAGATTCGGTGATGAAGAGTGGCGCTCTGGGTACTGGAGATTCAGTGATGAAGAGTGGCATTCTGGGTACTGGAGATTCAGTGATGAAGAGTGGCGCTCTTTTGCTTTCCTTGAGGCTTCTTTATAAGAAAATTGCTAAGAATAAAAGAAGGGAGGAGGAGGAGTAGAGGGGAGGAGGAAGAGAAAGAGATGGAGGAGAAGGAGGGGAAAAGGGAGAAGAGGAGGAGGAGGAAGAGGATGATAAATGGTGTGACAGTCCTTTGAGTAGTTGAGCACAGTGGTTAGGAACATGAACTCTGGTGCTTGGCTGCCTGACATCCAGTTCTGCTTGTTCACTTTTACATGGCTGTCTTTGGCCATGCTGTTTAACCTGTATCTCTCCATTACTTCTGAAACAATGGTGATGATGGTAAACATATCAGGAGGTTGTTATGATGCTAAGTTAATGTGCGTCAGTCTTAGACACTGCCTGTCTAGACGCAGGGGAGGGACGTGGGAGTGAGAGCCCGTTTGACAATGTGAGTACTCAGACTCTGGAAACAGCATGACTTCTGGAGTTGGCAGATCTGTTAAGGGTGCTTCCTAGAGGAAGTGGTGTCTGAGCTACTACCTTAAAACAAGTGAGAGCAAAGTGACAGAGACATGGGACATGTAGGGCCAGGACTACCTGATGAGCATCAGATTAATCTTTGTTGTTCGTATCTGCTGCCACTGGCAGCCGGTGCTCATCTGAGAACAGTGTTTAAAGTAAAGTAGCTGGCTCTAGCATTTGAGTGTACTGTTGGGTGACAGCTCTCTAGCCTAGTGATTCCAAACCTGCTATCATCAGAATCATTGGGGAAGCTTAAACAGCAGTGGAGTTCTGAGCCATCATAGTCCTGCTGAATGGAAGTATCCTTAGGGAGGAGTGGGTTTGGGGTGTTTTGTAGCTGAATCAAGTGATTAACCTGATTTGAGAATTACTTTCTAGTCTTGGAACTGCTCTGTTGGAACTGCTGAATTAATGGCCTATTTCTGATATTGTAATGGGAGTGGCCATGAGTCTATTTTTAATGATGTAATGGAAGTGGCCATGCTGCTGTTGATAGACGTGTGTCCACCTCATGTTACATGCCCACAGAGCAGCTGCAGTGCTGAGTCCAGAGAGAACATCTTTGGTCTGAGAATCCTCAAGTTATCTCCCTTTTGGTTTGTAAGTTGTATAATGGTGTTTAACAAGTTGTTTTGTCATCTGGCTCACAGATAAAGCCTTGCTAAAACAAAGCAAAATCTCTCATAAAAGTCATCTCAGTCACAAAGCTTAGGCAGTGAAACCCTAAGTGATAAAATACTATTTTTTAGTCAGAAGGTGAATCATGATTATTTTTATATCGAATCTGTGGCACACAAATAGATCATTCAAGTATCCGAAATAACATGTTTTAAGATAGTATATAAAAATATAGCATTTAGGGTATTCTAAGAGTGTAGTCACCTTGGGGCTTAGGAGATGGCTTATGGGTAAGAATACTTGTTATGCAAGCATGAGAAACTGAGTTGGAATTCCCAGCACTCATGTAAAAGAACAGAACTGACTGAGTATGGCCATAGCCCCAGCATTGGGGTGGGGTGGGGGTGGGGAACAGGTGGATCCAGAGAGGTCATGTCCAGCTAACCTGGAAGAAGTAGCAAGCATCTGGTTGAGTGAAAGACATTGTCTTAAGGCATTAAGTTAAGAGGGATGGAAGAAGACACCTGATATCCTGCTCTGACCTCCACATGGACGTGCACTGGCATGTGTACCCGCATACTAATGTGCATGCACTGCACACACACACACACACACACACACACACAAACACACGGTGTGTTGGGAGACTAGTCATCTTCAAAGTTGTGGCATATTTGTAAGTACAGAAATTTCTTGCCATTGGCTATATTAATACCAAAAGGGAAGAATTCCAAGAAAGCTTTGCTTCATAGCAGCATTCTCTAAGGATGTTGTTTTGTGTGGTTTGTGATAGTTATGTTAACACAGAATTCATGTTTATAAACTATGTGGGACACAGAGGAAGAATATTGTACTATTTACATAAAGAGGATTCATATGAAGTAAACTTTCTTTTAAACCATGAATTATTGTTATTACAGACTCCATATAATTGTCATAGCCAGGCCTGAATGTGTGGGTTCCAGCTGGTTGTTAGATAAGCCTCACTCTACTCTAAGAAAAAGTCATATTACATCTGACAGGCGTCTGGTATTTCAATTAAATTAATTTATTTGGGGTCCAACGTACTCTTTTGTTGCTCAGTTCACCTCATCCCACACTTTCAGACTGTTTCAGCCTCTCCCAACTTGCCCATACTTCTGCTGTGTAATGGATACTGGGTCTTCTACTGGGTCTGCTGTCAGTGCTGGCTGCAACTTGGAGGGTGCTGGGAATTCAGGTCACCTGTGGCACCACCATCCTCATAAATGCCTGGATGACACTGAAAGACCAACTGTCTGGAAATAACATTTTTAAAAGTCAACCAAACCAAAACCCAGCATATGTCCCAGTGGCTGGAAGAGTTGGGCATGTCATTGCACCATTTGGCTAGAAGGCCTCTTTCTTACCCAGAAGCATAGTGACCAGGACAGAGTGCCAACTCTACAGCAGTGGTGTCAGTCAAGGAAGTAGTACTGTACCATCTACAGGAAAGTTCTAACTGCAGAGAGATTACCTAAGAACCATGGCTTTTAAAGGAAATGCACCTGAATGTGATACTGTGATAGAGAAATGTATACAGAGGAATTACAGCCTGTGTTGTTTTCAGTCTCTTTTATGTCTTTGGAAATTGTGTAACCTTAGCCTTCTACTTGATGCTTTTCAAAGCACATTTTTGTAAGCGGCACTGGTATCAAGAAACACCAGTTGCACCAGGGGACCCTTGTATTTTGTAAGACACTGCTCCTCCCTCTCCTCCTGCCCCCATGGTGACCATATTTGCCTTCTAATGACAGATAACTGCTTAATGTACATTCTAATGCCTCCTTTCCCTGTGCTAAAGTAAGCTACTTCATCTACTCTGCACTCATTGTAATGTGTTGGTGCTTGAAATCAGTTTACACATGCAGATGAGGTAATTATCCAGGAAATACAAGCCCATAGGACTTCAGACAGTCTTATTCATGGGATAGTGACTGTATAGTTTCCAACTTAAGTGTTAGAAAGTTTGGAGAAGCTAGTGAGCATCACTTGGCATTGCATACGACTCAATAAAAGCCTTATGTGGAATAAACGTTTTCCTCTGGGACTGACTTTTTTAGAGGCAGAAATTTAGGGAGAATACCATTTACTCTCTCCATAGTGCTGTGTTTCTTTTCCTGCAAGTGATAGAACTATAGCTACCCTAGGTCTTTGTGGGAGTTGCTGACAGCATACCTCAGAATGAGAAGGGATGCTCAGACCACACATTTTGTGCTGATCTTATCCTTGCTTCGTAATTTCACTCCATAGCCCAACTTTCTACGTGTGGTGAGGTGTTTGGTTGCCGGGAGCTTCCAGATGGCATGCTTAGTAAAGAGACAGGGTCTTGAAAAACTTGTAAAATAATATTGCATGTTTGTGGTCAGACCAAAGAGAGGACAGGAGGGAGGCTGTTTTTTCTTTATCCTATAGGGTTTTTTTTTTTTTTTGGTCTGTTGAGGTTTTATTTGTTTGTTTTGTTTTAAGCAAAACAACTAAGCACTCACCTTTGGCTGACAGCTAAGGTCTGGGTGTTTCTAGAGTTGTCAGTTCAGAGTCGTTTCATATGGAGGGAATATGCTGTTCTTGGAAGAAGTGTATGGGTATAGACCAGACACTGGACTACCATAGTCACTGAATGCTAAGAGGCCACAAGAGATTAGTTCATCCTGGCTGTTCAAGATTCTGAAACAAATTCTACTGGGTGGTGATTATTTTTAGGGCCATTGAAGATAGCTCTCTCATGTGCCAGAACTATTCCCACTTGGCACATTGAAATTCATTCTTTTATCCCTACCATTCTCAGATCCGGAAATATTACTCACTTTCATCTACCAACGTGACTGTTCACTTAAACAATGCCAATCTTATTTTAATAATGTAAAATATAATCTTTATAATTTTCATTCTTTATTGTGAGACAGGGTTTCTCTGTGTAGCCCTGGCTGTCCTGGAACTCACTCTGTAGATCAGGCTGGCCTCAAACTCAGAGATCCACCTGCCTCTGCCTCCCAAGTGCTGGGATTAAAGGCATGTGCCACAACCACCCAGCTATTCTCTAAAATTTTGAGCTTGTTTTTCCAAGGAGAAAAATTTCCTCCAACTGTCCCATTAAAATGTAGTAAATATAAAAGCCAGAAGGAAAGCTGGAGGCATGGCTCAGTGGTGCAGTGTGTGCTTCTCATGCTTGAGGCCCCAAGCTCTCTCTTCAGCACCAGTTGTAGAAAACAAAGAGATACTCCTGAGGGTAAAGCTTCTCTATTTTGGCATCTCATCGTGAGTGTCACGTTTTTCTCTTTGATGTAAAACCACTATTATGCTTTTACTCTGTTGCTTATCACTGTGAGTAGTTCTTAGGCATTGTGATGGTTTGAAAATATGTCAAGGTGGGTATCTTGACAGTGACGTATTTCCACTTGACTTGCCATGCGTGTGCTCTTTCGCTGAGCACCCAGGTAGGATGTGGGGGTTGACCAAGTCTTTCTTTTCTATCAGGTGATCAGACTCTGAGGATTTGGGATGTGAAGACCACAGGAGTCCGTGTTGTGATTCCAGCACATCAGACAGAAATCCTGAGCTGTGACTGGTGTAAATACAATGAGGTACAGCATGAGGTTCCATGGAGGTGCTCCTGAGTGGTGGCACGCCCCTTATCTGTCTTGTTGATCTGACTTTCCTGATGCTTCTGGACCGCTAGGTTAAACTCAGTCCCTGTCACTTGTAGTGAGTAAGGGACTGACCTGCATTAGCAGTAATTGGACGTATGTGCTCCTAAAACAGGCGAAGTAAGGAACAGATATTCTTAAATGGTCAGCAGTGCAGCCTTGTTTTGGGAAACTGCTTTATCATTTTTGTAATTTGTATGTGTGCGATTGCTCTCAACCTCACTACTCCATGCTTTGATTTCTTCTTCACGTGGCTGGTAAGGCGTCTGAACTATTGATAACTCAGTGTTCAATTTGACAGTCCATCAGTTTTAAGAATTTTGTTCTATCTTCCTTTTTAAGCTGAACTAATTTTCATGCTTCTATAAGATGGTGGTACCCATGTGAAATTTTTTGTAAAAGCTTCAGTTAAAACATCTGAGTGGCCAGGCAGTGGTGGTGCAAGCCTTTAATCCCAGCACTTGGGAGGCAGAGGCAGGCGGATTTCTGAGTTTGAGGCCAGCCTGGTCTACAGAGTGAGTTCCAGGACAGCCAGGGCTACACAGAGAAACCCTGTCTCGAAAAACCAAAAAAAAAAAACAAAAAAAAAAAAACAAAAAAAACCATGTAAGTGTAAGAATTAAAAACAGGAATACAGGAATAGATTAAATATATTAATATACTATCTATATATCTCAGCAGGCCTTTTAGCTGAAAACTAAAAATATCTACTTTGTTTTCGCTTTTGCAGGTTTGAATTAACTTGTGAAAGTTAAAAGAAACCACATTGGCAGAACTCTTTAAATAAAAAGAAAGAAAATATGTATATTCAATAGAAATATTTAGGCTTAGAAAAACTAACAAACTTAACTAACACTCTGCTTTTGCAAATAACTGAGTCATCTTGTGGAGGGTTCCCCTACCCATATATATATGTGTGCCTGCATGCATGCATAAGTGCGTGCGTGTGCGCGTGTGTGCGCGCGTGTGCGCGTGTGTGCGTGTGTGTTTTTCCTGAGTATGGATTCAAATGCCTTCATATTTGCTAGGCAAGAACTCTATCACTGAGCTGTATTCCCAGCCCAGCAACCTGGTTTTTAATGTCTGATAAGACCTCAGCATGTTTTAAACCTTTTAAAAAGAAAGATCAGCTGATTTGTCCAAAATCTTTTAACTTCTTATATGTGTGTTAATATTTGAAAAGGTAAGTTAGAAAATCTACAGTGCTGTTTGAGACTTTGCTTTTTCCCTTGTGTGCAGTGTTCTGTTATATACATTAAACATATTTAATTTCTTTCCTCTGTAGTTAGATATTTTTGTTTTTGTGGTGGAGTGACTATTTTGTTTTTTTTTATATGCTTATTATGCAACTTTAAAAAAATAGATCCTGGGTATACATTTAATTATCAAAGTATGTTATTGTTTCTAGTGAGAGATTGCAAACATATCATAGTTTTGCTTTGTTTTTTTCTGAATTGTTTTCAGAACTTGGTGGTGACAGGCGCAGTTGACTGTAGCTTGAGAGGCTGGGACTTAAGGAATGTGCGACAGCCTGTCTTTGAACTTCTCGGTCACACGTATGCTATTAGGAGGGTGAAAGTAAGTCTTTCTCTTTATCTTATACACAGAGTGAGAACATAAACAGTAATCCGTGAAGTTTGTACAAAGTATTTAGAGATTGAAGTTTTATAGGGCTGAGATCGAGCCTGGGCACTGCTCATCCTAGGCGAGTGCCTACCACTGAGTTACGCCCTCAGCTCTTGGTTTTCTGAGACAAGTTCTCATTGTGTAAGCTAGGTGACTTTAAAATTATAATCTTTCTGCCTCAGCTTCCCAAGTGCTGGCATTATTGATTCTTATGTGTGTTTTTGTTATCCAATTAATGATATTAGAAGCTAAAATTAGATTATATATTTGAGTAAGCTGGAATGACATAAAAATTCACTCCTTGATGTTAACTAAAACAACTTTCTCATCTTATTATCCAGTTGACTATTTCTTTTAACACTATTTTTAGGTATGTTACTTTATATTTAGAGTTTATATGTTTCATAATTGCCCATTCAATGAGAGTGCATGTAATGAGAGATAGTAATTTTTTCTCTAACATGACAATGTATATAAAAACTAAAATGTGCAGGATATAGAAACGTTTTAATCTGTGAACAGAGGTGAGCTAACTTTTCACAGTGCCTCCATTGTAAGGGAACTTAATTTATTTCCCCAGCTTCTAGTCAGGTGGTTCTGCTGTGTCCCTGTGAAAAGCCCCCTACTCAGTGCATCTCCTGACTGTCAGTTTTACATCAACAGCTACAAAGTACCTAACGATGTTTCCAATAGGATAGTTGTGCATTATCCCTATTTTACATATTTCAAATAGCATTCAATTCATATTTTAAATTTTATCACTCAATATAATTTTAAATATGTAGTACATAGTAGATTTAACTTTTATGTTTTTGAGAATTTTATACATGAATACAGAGTATTTGCTCATACCTTCTCTTCCCTCAGCTTCACCAAGACCCTGGCACATCCCTCCCACCCTCTCTTCTTCTTTCTTTCGTTCTTTTGTTCTTTTGTTCTTTTGCTCTTTCATTCTTTCTTTCTTAATAATCCACTGAACCAGTTAGAGCTGCCTCTAACTGGTTATAACTGGTTAGAGGTTCCCACTGGAGCCTGGGCATCCCACCAGGGAAACTGACTCCCCTTCCTTGTAGCCATTCACTGCAGTAGCTTTCAGTTATAGATGAGGCCTTAGGAGTCCTCATCCATCTGTGCTGCTGTGTGCTCTGTCCTGTCCTGGGTCAGTCATCTGAAGGAGCCACAGCTGTGAGAGTTCGTAAGGACAACAGCTGTCTTGTGCAGAGGACAGTGTCCCACAGCAATCCTCCCACCTGCAGCTCCCACAGTCCTCCATCCTCCTCCTGTGTTCCCTGAGCTTTGTAGAAGGGCCTGAGCCATTCTTAGCCACGCATTCACCTCACTTCAGTTGTCAGTTTCTGTGATAACCATCATCTCTACAAAAAATAAAAATAAGCTTTTCTATGTTTTTAATAATGGTCTTCTATGGACAGGTTTCAGTAGTAGACAGATTTTTTTTCTGTATTATTTTTGTGGGAACAAATTAAGGTAATATAGTAAAAAGTACTTTGCAAATTGTGTGAAGTGCTCTTCAGGTGTAGTTATGGGGATGGGAATGTGACTCAGCTGGTAGATTGCTTATAGCATAAGATTGCTCTGAGCATAGAGGCCAGGGTTTGATCCCCACTAACACATGAAACTGGCTCGTCCATGTCTGTAATCCCAGCACTTGGAACATAGAAGCAGGAGGATCAGAGTTAAGATGATCCTCAACAAGGTTGAGGCTGGCCTGGGCTTCATGAGCCCCTCCTCCATCAAATGTGGTTATGTATGTATACAGAGCTATTAAAAATCTGAAAAGAAAAGCCTTGAGTAACCTCAGTAGCAGAGTACTTTCACAGAATGCACGAGGCCCTGGCTTCAGTCCCTAGGACTACACACTAAATATAAATATGTAAAAGTAAATACACAAAGTACTAATACACACCCCCATCACACACCCGTCACTAATACACTAATACACACACCCATCAAATGCAATTGCAAAAACAGTCAATTGGTTGTATATCATTTATGTTGATGACGCTACTTGATATACTGATTACGTTTCTTGCCACTAAGACAAAACATACCTGACAGAAGTTACCTAGGGAAAGGTGGATGTATGGTGACAAGGCAGGTAGCTTGGACTAGCTTGGTCTTGCCCACATCACCTGGAGTGGCAACAGGTAAACTAGCTCATAGTCCCCATGTCTCTGCTTACAGCCCCAAATAGACAGTGAGACCCCACTGTCCAAAGGATTACACAACCTCCCCAAAGTCCCACTAACTAGGTACCAGCTCTTTAAATGCACGAGGCTGTGAGGGACATTTCACATTTAAATTGGGACACTGGGCTTACAATTTGCATTTTTATCCTTGATATCATTTTTCATGAGCTATTATATAATACATAGCATTAAATTATTTAAAAATGTATATTTAACATTTAAGTGATTATTTTGCTGAGAATATATGACAGTCAAATGTATTCCTACAATCAGCAAATTCTGTAGTTGTTGCCTAGCTATATACTACCACACTTCGGTTCTTTATATTTATAGTCAGGCTCAGGGAGCTAGTAAGCATTTGTATTTAAATTTTAAAAATAGCAACACTTAGGAATACATGCTATAAATCATTTCTATAAAGCTTGAGGGACTTTCTTTGGAGAATGTAAAAATAAAAGATTTTTCTATAAATGGCTACTTGAAAGGTCAACAAGTATGTAAGGCCCAGGAACGCGCAATAATCAGTTGTGTTTACGGAGTGACGTGGAGTGGCGGCCCATGACTACCCTGACTTTTCTCTCCTGCAGTTTTCACCGTTTCATGCCTCTGTGCTGGCCTCTTGTTCCTATGATTTCACTGTAAGGTACAGAGATTTTTTTTTAATACATTTTGTGTGCAATACCTAGTAACATTTGTATGTGGGCAGCTTCTCTGAGACTGTTTTACTAGCAATATGTACTTTTCCTACTCTTCTTTTCTCCTAACTAGTAACTCTGGAAGCCACACCCTCTTGTCCTTCATGAGGACACTAAGCGTTGAGCTTACGTTGCCTTACTGCATTAACTACCCAGAGCTCCTCTTCCTTTTCCTCTCAGTCAGAGTTTGCTCTGGCAAAATTTCTATGACTTTTTTCTTGTAATGTTTTCTTCTGACAGAACAGATTTGAAGTGATTTCTTAAGAGGAAATACATGTCTCTAACTTGCTTTTCTGGAGTAAGCCCATGTAAGAATGCAGACAAGTTGGGGAATAAACTCAGAGCAGCCAGGTTGCGGTGTGGCATGGTGTGGTGTGTGTATATGGGGGGGTTGTTTCCTTTTATTGGTCTTGCCTTGTGTGCTGTACCTGTGGACTCCACGTGCAGCTGAGGATGGGACTTCTGATGTTCTTACTCTACCTCCTGACTGGGATTGAAGGCACGTGCCACCAAACCCAGACATATTTTGTTTTTAAAATAATGTATATACAGTAAGGAATGATCACAGCGTTTTTAGTCTGTAGTGATGCTGGAGGTTTTGGAAGACAGCACTCGGGGACAGGAGGAAAACTTGTCACTTGCTTGCCGTCCACCCAGCCATTTCCAGGCTGGAACTGTGGAGCTGTAGGTTATCTGCTGGTCCTTAGAGTTTTGTGTATGGATCTTCAAGCCCATTAATTTCCTGGTGATCAGGCAGGCGTGCAAGGGTGGATACACTAAGTGGGGATGAGTGTGAAGAGAGCTGAGCAGGATACTGTTTTCAGAGACTTAATGTTGGTGAGAGACGGTGCACGCCACCAAAAGCAGGGCAAGTCCCCAAGCAGCATGTTACAGAAGCAGCTAGGGAAGGATGGCTGAGTAAGTCTGATTCTTCAGCTATGCTGAGCAGGTGCAGAGGAGACTAAGAATCTTCTCTGTGCACTCTTCTCACGTGTGTGACCCAGGAGAGTTCCGGATGAGGATCTAGACTGTGCCTTTCCAAAGTCTTCTGTGTCTGAAACTGATCACCTTTACCAACTGAGGCTGCGTGCTGATCTTTCGCTGATCTTGTCACTGCCCATTATATTGAAACTGATGACGTGTGGTATTTAAGTATGTAAAATGTTGTATTTATGTATGTGTACTTCATATTTAACAGGAGCTGTAAGTCTTACTTATATAGTAGATCATATTCGAGTAAGTCATAAAAATTCTAAAACTAATATATAATCTCATATTGTAGACTATCTGTTGTTTGTTTTGGTGCCTTAAAATTTGTTATTGCATTTGTTCATTTGTACATGTGTGGAGGGTATGTGTGTAGAGGTTAGGTGCCGCTCGGGGTTCCTGGGAAGACCAAGGGGTCAGACTCAGGTCAGGGCATCATCAGGCTTGGCAGCATAGCCCTTACCTGCTGAGCCGTCCCAGCAGCCTGTCTAGTTGTGAATTATTTAAGAAAGCTTACGTTGAGTAAAAACTTCGGGTTTTATTTTAAAAAATGGTTGAACTCCTATAGCAAATAAGCAATATGTTTCATAAAGATAAGCCTTGCCTTTCGCTGGTTCTGCTTAAGACTTTTCTTTTATTATTGTATGAAAGCAGTGTGTGTCTTCAACAGAAACCGTAATTTGCATTTTGATCTTTTCCTGAGCTAGCAGTATGATCTAATACTCTCTTTAAAAAACTTAATTAAAAAATTTAATTTTAGAATCAATTATTTTTTGTTTTAATTAAAAAATTTCTTAAAATATAATTATATTATTTTCTCCCTTCCTTTTCTTTCCTCAAACTTTTCCCATGTCACCTTCTCACTTTCTCAAATTGTTGGCCTCTTTTTTCTTTGCTTGTTACATATATATAAAATGTAAATATATATGTACACATATCTACACATATATGTAATAATACAAGATATATGCATACAGCCCGATGAATCCATTTAGTATGGCTTGTGAATATAGAAGTGTAGGGCTGACCGTGTTGCCAATCTTCTCTTTCGGTGTTGGACAGCAAGAGAAAGCCAGAGCGTCTGTGGCCCTGTGACGTCCAGGAGAGGTACAGATGCAATAGTGAGTGTGCAGCTATGTCAGGTGGATTCAGAGTGATAGACACATTTATGGGGTGGTTGAGACAGGATTTCCCTGTGTAGTCCTGGCTATCCTATCTACTAGTTCTGTAGACCAGGCTGGCTTCAAACTCACAGAGCTCTGCCTGCCCCTGCCTTCTAAGTCCTGGGATTAAAGACATGTGCCACCATCTCCTGGTGATAAATACATTTTAAGCACAGTATTTTCAACTTGTGATGGGTTTACCAGGATATTATTCCATTGTAATGCCATCTCTCTCCACTGATTCTTTCTACATTTCACTCAAGATAATACAAAGTCTAAACTGTTTGATAATAGGGCTAGTAGGATAGCTCAGCAGGTAAAGCCTCCACCAAGCCTGATGACCTGAGTTCGGTCTCTAGTCCCTAGATGGTAGAATGAGAGCACTGACTCCTATAAGTTGTCCTTTCACCTCTTCATACAAGCCACCTTCAACAAATAAGTAAATGTAATACAAAACAAAAAATGTTTCATAGTGCATTCTTGTGTTCTGTGAATGTTATCATCATAGATTTCAGCATATTACCTTTCCCTATTATACTCTTTGCTAGGCTAGTTCTCTGCTAGTTCTTAGCAGGCTAAGCCATGTTTGCTGTGCTAAAAATGTATAAGTGTGATTTGAGTTTTAAGTGCTTGTCTTTTGTTTCATATCAAGTATATCAGACATTTTGTTAATAAAATAAGCAAATTAAGTTTGTGGTATGTGTAACAACCGAAAAAGAAAGCCATCTAATAATTATTATTAGAAAGATCAATATGCTGTCTTTGTGTTGTAGCAAATATGTTTCAAGTAGTACAGATACAATTTTCATAGTTGATAACGCTAAAATGATCATATTAGTCTTAGTTAACACTTCAGATTCTTGATATTTTCATAGATATTCTAATATTTGTAATATTTTTATACATGGCCTTTGGTAGTAACAAATCAGCCCAAAACTTAATTTTTTAAGATATATATTCTGGTAAGGAAAGTATGGTAAGAATTTAATCCTAATGATATCAAACTGTGTTCACTCATGTTCTACATGAAGTCTCTCTTAACCTAGCAGTATCAATGTTTCAAGTCTATTCAGTTAACAAAATTATATAGATGTTGTGAATGGTTTACATTGTGTCTACTATAGTCAGGAAGCTGAGACAGGACTGGAGCTAAGAAACATTAAGGCCTGGCCTAGCAACCATCTTGCTCCAGTGAGGACCTACTTCAAGAACCACTCCATGCTGGGGTCCAAATGTTCAAACATAAGACGCCACAGAGGACAGTTTACATTCAGACCATGGCAGGAAATGACAAAAGAGGAAGACTGGAGAATAGAAGCAGGCGTAAGCCTTTCAGTTTTGTTGGTATAGCAAGACATACGTAGTCATAAATAGAGGTAGAGAATAATTGAAGACATACTTGTAGAATCATTGGGACCAGCATATACTTGGATGCCTTCATAATGGAGGCAGGGTGTATACCTACTACTAGCCATATAAACTTGAGCAAGTTAACTGAACACTGTGTAGCTTGTAGTCTACATTTGTAAAGTGGAGACGATAGAGCAACAACAACAATAGAGATTGTTCTGATGACCCAGTGAGCTGACACACACGAATGCTGGCACACTAAGTGCTAAGTGTCCTGTTATTGTCAACCTTAAAGGCAGAATTGGCAGTAACAGAAGACCATCTGTCTTTGGATGTAAGGGCCATTTCAGCTCTAATCTTCTAGGATGAAGTAGTCACTTTTATTTTAGAGCAAGAAAAACAGTCAGCCTACACGTGGCCTCTTCCCCTTGGAGTTGGGAGAGAAGTAAAACCAGGGGTAAGAAGTCACAAAGACTAGTCCTATTCCTCCACATTTCTTATTCTTTAGAGAAATTTGGAAACATTCTCTGGGCTGGATATTTCTGAATGCAATGACTGTGTGGCCCTTTTAGTCAGTTGAGTGAGTGAAAGGCTGCCCCTTCTACTTTTTAGCCATGGAGAAATGGAAATGGTGCCTTTCCATTTTGCAGGAATGTTTAGAGGTTTCAATGAAGTAGTACCCAAAATGTTCTTGGCTCATAATTAGTGTCTAAAAAATAGCAGATGTTCTAAAACAGATGCTAATAGTAATAAGTTTCCTATTTTAAAATGCAACTACCTCAGGGAGACTTGAGGTTTTAATCATTCTTGCTTTACCTATCATTACATTAATAAGGTAATGATTTTGCTAAAAGCCACTGAGGAGTCATGTGAGTAGGAATTTTTATTGTCGCTTGAAGGTGAGGTAGAAGTGAACTGGCGATGTATATAGTTCAGCAGGAACCAGAACAGGGTCACTGTGTGGCAATGGATATGTGTGGTGTATTGTTCAGATCCATAGCTAAGTAGCCATGTCTGTGTTTCATAGTTTGTATCTCCCAGCCTGGTCTACAGAGTGAGTTCCAGGACAGCCAGGGCTATACAGAGAAACCCTGTCTCGAAAAACCAAAAGAAAAAAAAAAAAAAAGGCTACCACTTGCTCCTTAGGGCGGTGGTGGCGCACAACTTTAGTTTGTATCTCTTCTGCTATCCATCTCTTTCAGCCTTTATTTCCTCCATAATTTTTATGACATTTAAATGTAATTAAATAGAAGCTGTTCACATCATGTCTGGCACATATAAGATAGTCAATAAATTTTAGTTTTTTTTTTAAATTTTGTACTTATGTTGTACTATTTCACAATAAATTATATCTAATATTTAGGATTAGAAATTATAAAACTTAGCAAAATCACAGACACTGAATGCAAAATGTCTAAAATTTACTTTCAAATCATTTAACAAAAGTA